GTCGACGTAATCGTGACTAGTCGACTAATCGTGGCAGCCATACTGATAATAGAATCGAAATTGCTAAATTCTTATCAGTTCCCGTCCCTTGCATTTGCTTTTATTATCTTGCTTTTCATTACTGTGTAAGCTTAAAAACTGTCTCTGCACACAGCTTAGAAGCTGTTATTGTTAGAAAAAGAAGTTCTACAGCAGCCCCATGCATTTACATCATGACAGAGGGCATCCACAGAAACATCGGTGGAAAAAAGAGAAATCAGTACTGAAATCTACAAGACTGGCATTTACTGTACATTCAGATCTTACAGATTCTGGCATGTAAATGAACTGGTGTTTTCTATTAATTTGAACAAGGCTCATTCACTTTTTTATTATTATTTTTATTAATCCTTTATTTATCCAGGTAAAAAATCTCATTGAGATTAAAAATCTCATTTCCAAGAGAGACCTGGCATCATGGCAACAAAAGTCACATACCACATAGGTATATAACATTTAAAACAATATTCTCACTCAAATGGATGGATAACTTGGGGCTCACCATCTTGCACGCTGAGTCGGGGATTGATCAACCCACTCTCCAACCTGAGCCACCCAAAGAATGTGCTCTTTGCCCTTTAAATCATGTGTTAACTCAAAATCAAGAGTCCAAATACACCTCTTTAAATCCAGGGTGCAGAGATAAAGGCAACTATTAAACACGCACCTACTCAGGGTAGTCTCAGGTAGTGATGTGCGGATTGATATAGAAATATCGATTCCTCTGATACCAGCCATTTATGTTCTAGAATCAATTCTCATATTAAAATATCGATATTTTAGTAATTTAGGGTAAATCTGTAGTTTATCATTAACAGGAACACAGTGGAAAGAAACTACAAATTCGGATTGTCTACATTGGAAGGAACTACTTCCTCTTCCGCCTTTCATAGTCATGTGCGAAATACGGCTGAATAAATGTGTCCAGCCCCTTGGCACTCGCACTCTCACAACAATGGCTGAGCTTAAATGGAGTCATCTGTGGACACGTTTTACCTCCACAAACAGCCGAGACGTGGTTTGTGATACATGTGGCAAGACAGTGAGGTGTTGTGGCAACACCACTGATCCTCATCAGAATCACCTCACAGTAAATCATATCACAGAATATGACGAGCGTATGTTGAGGCGAACTGAAGAGGAGGA